TCCCTTATTTTCTCCATTTCCTTCTTTAAACTCAATTTAATATTCTTCTCAATTACACAGACCCGATTTATTATTATTAATATTCTACTATTATTATTCTCAATTTTTTATTTTATTTTTATTATTATTTTTTTTTAAATATGGCAAGTATAATGCTGACATTATTGAAAATTGTGTATTATTGCATTTTCTGAAGAAACCCGAGATGGTTTCTTCACAACACTTATGTACCCATAAGATGTTTGTGAATAATAATAATAATAATAATAATAATAATGATAATAATAACCCGTGCTGAAGATCACTGTCTTCTTTTTGAAGCTCGGCGAGTTTTAGAAGGTCGATTCCTTGGAAACTGTTTAAGGAAGTTATTCAAGACAAGGCGTCTGAGACTACATTGTTTGCTCGAGAGATGTGTTGAACGTCTGAAGTAAACTGCGAAATGTAGTCCAGTTGTCGAGACTCACGGAGAGAGTACTTGTCTGAAGGAGAGCCTAGAGAGAAGGTGAGCAGTTTATGGTCAGTGAAAATAGTGAATTCACGGCCTTCAATATAGTGTTGGAAATGCCATACAGCACAATAAATAGCTAGGAGTTCCCTACCGAATGTGCTGTACCTCGATTCGGTGTCTAGCAACCGTCTAGAGAAAAATGCCAAAGGTTGCCAGGAGTAGTTAATCCATTGTTGTGCGACTCTTCCGACTGCTGAGTCGGATGCGTCTACTACGATGCTAATGGGTGCTTCAGTGTCCTGATGGGCAAGCATTGTTGCTTTAGCGATAAGTTCCTTAACTGTGGAGAATGCTTTCTGTGCGATGTCAACCAACTTGATAGATTTCGCATTTCGACGAAGTTGGTCGGTAAGAGGTTCCATGAGTAACGCGCATTTCGGTATGAAACGTCTATAGAAACTTACAAGGCCGTTAAACGTTCATAGTTGCTTGATCGTGGTCGGTTCTGGGTAATCCGGAATGGCCGCCACTTTGGTTCTAAGGGGCCGAATGCCTTGAGCATTTATAGTATGTCCTAGAAAGTCTAATGAGTCAGTTCTGAATGTTTATAGTAATGCCATGCTTTTGTAGTCGGTCGAAGACAAGATCCAGATGCTGGAGATGCGATTCTCTGTTCGGACTTGCTATTAAACAGTCGTCAGCATACGCATTTACGAAGTTGAGACCTCGAAAAACGTCGTCTATAATCCTTTGGAAGGCTTGTGCAGCGTTTCTTAGACCGAAGAGCATTCGCAAAAATTCGTAAAGTCCGAGAGGAGTTATGATAGCGGTTTTCGGTATGTCGTCAGTGGCCATGGGAATTCGATTATACGCTTTAACCAAGTCGATTTTCGAAAAGACAGTTGTACCTTTCAAGGTAGCTGTCAAATCGTGAATGTGAGGCAACGGGTAACGATCGGGAATGGTTTCGGCATTCAATCGCCGTTAGTCATCAGTTGGACGCCAATCGTTCCTGTCCTTTTTAGGGACCATGTGCAACAGAGATGCCCATGAGCTGTTTGACGGTCTTATGATACCTAAGTCTATCATATGGTAGAACTCGTTTTTCGCCAAACTTAGCTTTTCGGGGGCTAGTCGGCGTGCTTTAGAGAATACAGGCAATCCTGTAGTCGTGATGTGATGTGTAACGTTGCTGGTCACACACGGTAATTTCGATTGCGATTGGTATATCCCAGAGTACTTATCGAATAGTGGTTGATATAATGGGTATATTTTGTGCTTAATTGTGACTGGAGATAATCTGCAACCAGAAAAAATGTTGCGCAAACAGACAAATTAGTATTTCCGTCTACTAGCCTGCGTTTGCACGTATCGATGACTAGATTATGGTGTTATAGAAGGTCCATACCAATCACTGGCATAGAAACATCTGCAACAACGAAGATCCAGTAAATGGGTATACGTAAACTCACTTTAAGGTAAACGTACCTTTTGCCATACGTAGCGACAGGTCTTCCGTTTGCCACCTGTAAGTTTAAAGCCGATTCTTGAAGCCGGTCGTTAGAATTTTCAGGAAGAACTCTAACTTCTGCGCCAGTATCGACGAGGTAGCGAACTTCCGTTACTACAACTGTGACGTATAACAGATGGCTATGTTCGCCGGCTACGGTTGCCGTTAACGCGTGCCGGCTTGGTAGTTTCCCTAGTTGTTTTTCGAGATGGGAAAATTGCAGGGTTTTCTGCAATTTCTGGAAGACTTTCCATACTGGTTATGATACCAGCACCAGTCGGGGTTATCCGTCTCTCGTGGTCTAGAGACAGATCGCTTACGTGAGGTGCTTCTACATGGGGTGTGTGATCGCTTACGGTCGTTACGAAAATTAAGATAACGTGTAAGTGTATGACATAACTCTGCAGTGTCATTCTGGGTAGTTTTAGGCTTTTCTTTGACTGAAAACACCTCGGTAGTAGAAGATTTCGTAATTTCTAAGATACGATCGACAGATGCAGCCAACTCGTCTAAGGCGTTATTCTGAAACCAGACCAGAACCGCTTGCACCTATTGGGGAAGTTTAGACAAGAAAAGTTGTTTAAGAATAGAACGCTTTAAGGTTTCGTACGGTTCAGAAACATCACTAGTAAACATACTAGGTGTTACGCACCTGTTGGATTTCCCGCGGTAGTGCCTTGATTACTGCGGGGAATTTCGCACGTGTATCGTTCACGCCGTGCTCGTGGAAGTCGGTTTCTGCGTAACAGAACCAGGGCATGAGTTGGAACGAGGGTGGGGATATGGTCTTAATCTTAAATACCTTAGGAGTCTATTCGGTCATAGGGGAATATTATATACGAGAATACGAGAGAAAAATATACAGATATCCTAAAACACGGAGAAAAAATATCAAAATGTATAAAAAATTAAAAATAAGGCAATAATATATAAAAATCCCAAAAAGGAACAGACTCATAGTTGCAATTAGGTGTGCCAGATCACGTTATGCTCACCAATGAAGATGGCACAGGTATTTAGTGTTTGACAACGCTTTTACCAGAAACACCTTCTAATATAACTCGTACCCACCAAGAGAAATCAAAAGTCAGAATCGAGGAGATTAGAAGAGTGTATTTGGCGATAACCAATATATCGGAATTGTCTGGTCTAATCTGGCTAGCGATTGTGGTAGCATTTGAGCACGGCGTTCCCACACGTGATCTGGTGAGGATGCATGACCGAGCGCCTTCAGCTAGGTGGGTCCACTAAAACTAATCTGGTCAGCAACCAATGTCGAAAACTTACAGAGCTATTTATTTTAGGGATTTATTTACCGCTACACCAGATCAGGTCAGGAACACTATTGAAGATACCACAAGTATTCGGATTTGAAAAACTCCCTAACCAGTAACGCTGTTTATAATCGAAACGTGCCAGCCATGTCACGTCAGGGGTCAAAAGCAAAGAGGTAAGAAGATATATTTGGTAAGTTATTGATGTATAGAGAAGTGACTAATCTACGCAGTTGTAGGACAAGTGACGCACGGCGTACCCACTTGTGATCTGGTGCAGATGCGTGACCGAATGCCTTCAGCTAGTTGAGTCCAGTGAAACTAATGCGGTCAGCATAAAATGTCGAGGACTTACATAGCTATTGTTTTTGGGGAATTATTTGCCGCTACACACTGCTACTTTTTAATTCCTTCAGGCACTACCAACTTGTGTTTTAACCTCTCATATCCAAAGTGAAACAACGGAGGTCAAGTCTTCCTCTGATCCAGAGCCTCTGAAAAACAAATGGATCACTACTTTTCCATAGTAAAGGTTTGAGGATTGAATCCCGACTTCATCAAGAAAATTAAATCGAAAGCGAGGCAAATTTGTACGGTAGGGTGATTGGTTGAGTCTATATATTTAACTGGGCAGTCGGAGTTAGTTGAGCTGAGAATTTATACGCATCTCATCGGGGGATTTAATCTAACGGCAACTCCAACCAACTGATCGAGTTGTTCAATACACTTCATAGTTGTCAAATAAAATGACACTAAAGATCCACGTTGTATTTTGGTAAGGTCATTCTTTAGACAAACTATTTTCTTTCCCTAGTGGAGCTTGAGGGTATGAGCCGAAGGTATGTCAAGCTGACGTTTGAACGTTTCGGTTGTGTTCCTACTTAACATCCCAAACAAGCATTGGGACCGAGCAGTATTTAAAATGTGTATATAGAGTTAGTAGAATGCACACGCGACACATGACTTTTTTGAAAATTTATGGACACGTAATAATGAGACATTAGTCAGTACTGATTGCGATTAGAGTTAGGTTTTTCGTCGCATACTAAAACCAGCTACAATGTCAAAATGTTATTTAGCCATATGGATAGGCGGTTCCCGTGTCATAATCCAAGGTCTACCTTAGGTCTGATTGGTTTGTCCTTAAGTCGTGATCTCACCCATAATACTATAAAATATTACGGACGAAGTACGTGACACTAACCAACAAAAATCAGCACTGTCTTTTCGAAGTGTAACAATGCAGATCCTTTCAACACCAATACGGGTACTCGTAACTATTTGTGTGAGCTTTTTAATGAGCTGAGTGGTAGATCCATGTTTAACTAAGTTAAATGTCATTGAAGTACTAAACTTATTATCCTGGTTTATCCGTAGTTTTAGGCACAAAAGTTGAGATACACATGTGTTGTTTTTGGCTATTCAAGAAACCGTCAATCATAAGAGCTGATTCTGAAATTTGAGATACGATTGGTGGAGTCTGTCACTGTCCACCGTAAACCAATTCCATATCAATCCTTTTTGGTCTTGTGACGCTAAATTGGTCCATCTTGAAGTCCTATTAGCTGTTGCCTAAGCTAAATGATTGTAGGCTTAATTATTCCCGAAATCTGGTTAGCATAACGGAACATGTTTCACATAGAAAACATGGCGTTTCGTTGAGCTTTGCGCAATATTTTAGTACCCAGTGCACGTCATGTTATGTGCCGAGGACTTCCACTAAAAGTAATAAAACTTATATTTGTCCATGTTCGTTCTCCAAATTATGAGAGTTGCTTGGATCCTTTTCTTAACGCTGGGAGGTCTAAAGGTAGGACAGGTGTATTTAACATACTTCTGAGCTATCCTTTGGTAAAAGTCTTACCAAGACATTTCCAAACAGCACCAGTGTTTAAATATCTAACCAAGTGAACCCTGAGTTTTTTTGTAACATCTGTGACTTGTATTTTGCTATTTAATAGTACAACAGCTTCAAACAGCAACTAGAGCGTCGCTTCCCAGGGAAACTCGAAATCGTAAGTTAGATATTCTTTAAATTTTTGTACGTCAGTCTGGTGAAGGAACGCCTCAGTCAACCGGCTGGTTTGAAGTTCAAGTAATAGGTGGACCACTCTTACATTCAAAAAAAGTACGTTTCGTTTAGCATATGAGTAATTTTTTCCGCATATTTAGAACGGTGACGGATTCGTGGACAGCAAAAAGTTGGAACGTATCTGTAACGCCATCAGGGACCTGTTGTAAAATTAATTATCGTGATGTGTCTCTAACAGCATATGGTGTAAGCCCTATGACTGGATGCAGGTAAAGTAATGCTTGTTTCCACGATGCTTGCTTTACCCATATCTGCTAGAGTATAACACATCCAAGTCTGTAGTTTGTTCTAAAGCAAATATAACATGTCAACAAAATTTGCAGTGTTTCTTAATTCAAAAGCATTGACAAGTGATTAGACCTTCAGTTCTGTTGTACACAAACGTTAGATACATATAGTTAGCTAATCCAATGACTGCTTTGTTCAGTCAGAATTTTCGTATAACTACAAATAGGCGTACTGAGTTCTAGTGCAAGAGTTCTTAATTTCAGTCGTTCATCAATTTCGTATGCAGGATTGTCCGTGAGTTATTTCTTCATTTGATTATCTCCGGGTGTTCAACGTACCAAATATGATGAGTTGAGGATTAGACATATTTATATTGTAGAGACTGAAACATTTTCGTTTGAAATGCTATGGCTCTGATATTATAATGCTTTCTGACTAAGATGGTCTTCGATTCTGTAAATTTCCCTATCCGGTGTTGTCCACTATCTCCGTTGTTCGATCTCATCGTGGACATACTGCTGGAAATAACGTTCTCGTCGACTGAATTTTCGGGCATCGGTCTCCATCCAGGAGGTTCAATTATCGATTTGGAATACGCAGGTGATATAGTCTTGTTTGGTGAAGGCGATGGTAAAGTGCAGTCTTTCGGTAGCACTGAGCAACAATGCGAGGATGTTTGGGATGCGTTTCTCCCCCTCATAATGCAAGTTGTCACTTCGGGACTGGTCTGCGTCAGCACCTGAACTAAGGATAGGGAGTGGAGTAGTCGGGTGCGTTGACAACTTCACTTATCTTGGAAGTCTGATCAACCGTAATGGGTTGGTGTCTGGCGAAATCTCAGCACAGATTCAAAAAGCTTGCTTGGCTTTTACCAACTTACGTGACTTATGGCGAAGGTGAGATATCTGTCTATCAACTAGAGGACGAATATACTAAGCAGCAGTTCTGCGTGACTATCGTGACCAATGGTCGGAGACTGTAACATGGCTCCGAATCGATCACAATGGCTTAGGTGTATACACTCTCTGTCTTCCCTTAAGCCATCAGATTAAAATCGCTTTATATCTTTCCTTCTACGAACTAATTCTTTCTTCCTGTACTATGTCCTTATATGCGATCTTTCTTTTATATATTCCTACCACTGAATTAACTACTATGAATCCGGTGTTCATCCTGTCGTGTTAATGAGGTGTGGTAACTTGGACCGATGCATATAAGTGCCTGGCTCTATGTTGTAGCTGACTGACCTATTCACACTGACAAACGCTTCCTCATAATCAAGGAAGTTGATACATAGTGACGAATTCAATTCAAGTGACTGCTCAACACTGATCCTTAGTGTCGCGATTTGTTTTGTGCACGACCGATTCTTACAGAATCTCGAAATTGGACGGCTACTGAGTCTTTCATCCAGTCCAGCAACACTGTTGAAAACCTTTTAGGGTACTGACAGTAGTGTGATGCCTCTGTAGTCCTCACATTTGTCGAGATCCCCTTTCTTTTCTTGATGGGATGTCCTTTCCAGTCCATCGGCACTTTCTCCTCCTCCCGAATCTTCCTGAATAGAATGTGGAGCATGTTTGCCGTTGCTTCTATATGTGACCTCACTGCTTCAGTTGGTATGTTGTCAGGTCCTACTGCTTTCTCAATCCTGATTTGTCTGATGGTCATCCTGAATTCCTCTATCGCTGGCGGAGTGATATCTACAAGTATGTGATCTGTCTGGTTCTCCATCGTGTGGTTCGGTGGGACACATGTGACATCGTGTATACTATCTCAGCTCCTTTCTTGCTCGCATCTTCCAGCGACCTTTTGGATATTCTGGTGATATAGATATGATTGGTCTGGTTCTCTGTGGTCTGATCCGGTGAGATCCATGTAGCTTTGTGTATGTGTTTGTGTGGGAATATTGTGCCACCTATAACCATTTTGTTGAATGCACATAAATTCACAGATCTCACCATTCTCGTTCATTTCTTCCAGTCAGTCCGTGTCGTTCCATGATATCTTCATAGCCGGTTTTGTCCATTCAGACTTTTGAGTTTAGATCTCCCATCAGGACGGTCATATGGTTTCCTGAGCACTTCTCTATGATTGATTGCAGCCTCTCGTAAAACTAATGTTTATTGTCGTTGCTACCATTGGTGAGTGCATGACATTGGGTAAAATTCATTGTGACTCCCTCCTCTGTTTTGAAGGATGCTTTGATGATTCTGGATCCATGAGATTCCCACCATATAAATGGTTTATATGCATCTTTGGACTGCATCAGAGCAACTCGATGAGTGTGTGGAGCATTTTCTTCTTCGTAACCAGAGTGCAGCAGCATCTCTCTCGAATCTATCCTTTTCTAATGGGTCTCACTGATTCCGAGGGCCGTCAGGTTGTACCTCCTCATTTCCATAGCTATTTGATTGGTCTTCCTAGTCTCTCCGGACATTCCGTGTGCCTATATTAATTGTTGCACTGGTTGTTGAATTGGTATCAGCCTCGTGACTTCGGAAGAATATCGGCTTTCACCATGAAGCGTCATATATCTTCTGAAAGATCACTCAACACCCGGGACATTGTTCGAATGGTTTGATTTGTTTGTTCGGGTTGGCGTCTTTTTAGCAAGGTTGTTTTCTACGGAATGGGGACGCTGACCCTACTTTTAACTACAGGCGGAGTTTTCCATCATAATATATATACTTCAATCTTATTAATTGATTCGATTCCCTTTGACTATGAATCCGCTTGCTCGAGCGTAACAGATTGCCTGTTCAAATTCTCTTGGTGTGTTTGTTATTTGCGCTGTCCAATAATAAACTGCAGTCGGCGTTTCGTGTCGCTTTCTGGATTTATACACCGTTGGGATTTAATTAACAACGGTTATCATGGTGATTGATAAACGAAGCCTAAGGAATTACCTCGAAGACAAGCCATTACAAACTAACTTGTATATTTTTAATGAGTATCTATTAAACAGCCCTTTATAGCATTTTCGTATTATCTTAATTGGAAATTGTCTTCCGACTCATTAATCGTTGCCAACTTGAAATCGGTCGACCAATCCTAAACTTTTACTCAGTCTTGTATTTCTAATATCCAGGTTATGTACCTAATGGGACCTACTAATTGAGTTGATCTGCAGACTTGCAGTTTACCTACGTAATCATATGATTTATGGATATAAATGAGGTACTTGTTATCATCCATCTGGCTTCCCCTTGTTTTTATTGGATGCTTAGGACAGGAATTTGTGTGGTCTATCGATTACGTCAAGAATACAATAATGAAACCAGTGAATTTATAGCTTATGACGTATCCAAGGTCATAATAATGTTTCAATCTGAGTAAAAAACCATATAATTTCATCATCCAACCTGAAATTCATTAGTGAGCAGTCATAAGAAAATAAATATACATGTCTTATCAAACTGTAAAACGCACTGAACATGTATCATATTTATACAGTGACATAAACGAACATGCATCAAGTAACATGATGCGTAGTAGCACATTTCCACCAGCTGTTCTTGATAGATATAAATATCTGAAAGAAAAGTACATTAACCAAATCCAAATTTTACGGTATTACATTAGTAGTTTGGAGAGGAGGGTACTCCCAGTGACCCATTGATAACGCGACAAAGATTTAGTTTATCTGTAACTGCATCAAAGAATAATTAGTTTTACCTTACGACCTACAAACATTATTAGAGTTAGAGTCAGGAACTTGCTGACTATTGACAGAGTAATTCTTTACATTATGAACGGGAACATAGCGACCATGCAAAAGAAATAGGTATAAACTAATTTGTTCGATTCGTATGCAGATTATAAGTATCATATTCTTTGCGGGTGTATTGTGCCCCAATTAGGTACATGACTTGATTCTGTAATCATATGAATGTATCATTGTTAGCATAAGTTACTAAGCATTTCTCCACATTATTCATCTCTGCCCGTGGCTTTACAACATAAACATCCATACTAAAATAATCTATTTCATAAAGATTCCTTAACCACCATTAGTTTGTCAAAACCACCATAAAAATAAGGTCTAATTATTTATTGATAAAAAAGTTATAAAACAACTTTAAAAGGGAATTTGTAAACGAACATCGGGAAATAATTGATAATACTGTCAACAATTATTAGACGAACAGGACACAAAAAATGTTCGGTTCATTTTTTCTTCCAAAAAATAAAAGTTAATTTACAGGTTATCATCTACAACAATTTTATAAAATAGACAAGACACATACAACTTTTTTCACAGCCAATTACAATTAATTATTCTTCTACTCCAAATAAATAAGTACACAGGAAGAAAAATACAAACAGGTCTTTGGAACATTATTCTTAATCATTTAACAAGAATAGCTGACAAGGAAAATTAGTAAACTAATACACAAAAGAAGGATACCACTGAGTTTTAATAAAATTGAATAAATAAATCCATCGATCCACTCCGCCATCTTGAATTTTCACCACATTCTGGATTACATGACGGGCAATTAGTAAATGTATTAAACCAACGTGTTGTGCATTTAGCACAAAATTTATGCTATACACATACATGCAAATGGGAAAATTTATTTTAAAAAAATATGTGAATAAATGAGTATTTATCATGATTGAAAAATAAGTGAAACTATTTAGATTAAAAAAGGCAATCTTGTTGTAGTTTTCTTTCATATTCTTTGTAAATTGGGAGGAACTTCCTTAGGTGAAAGAAATCTTCCTTGGTTGTACATTTAACTAAACTATATCCCCTAACACAATATTCTTGCCCAGTTACATTTTTGGATTATATTTCTATTCCTTACTTTACTTTTTCTCAATATTATCTCTTTATTTATGTGGTGCAAACCTTTTTTGGTGTCCAACTGTACCACAAAGTATGTAAATTAAATACATCTTAGAAAATTGGTTTTCAATAGAAGTTCTCCTTACCAAAAATGTCCAATTGATTAATTTATTAAAATCATATGTAAACAATAAATAATACTTTTTCATAACTTTCCCAATTATTTAACGCTGTAAAAATTGACTTACATTACAAGACAAAATGCCAACATGAGTATAAGATTCAAGGCACATATTACAAACTTCATTCGATGGCGCCTGCATTTCAACTGTATATGGCTGTATAAAATAATTGATAAACAGTATACGTGTAAACAGTGTTCGTGCGCTATGCTAATATTTTGAAAATCCAACTTCAATACAGTGAACAAGATGGTTTCTATCCTCTAACTCTCTGCCTCGCTAAGTTTCGCAATTGAAAATTAGTCGGTAATAGCTCCGGTAGAATTAAAAACACGTTTAAGTTAGTTGGTTATATATCAGTTACAGTGATCGGAATTTATCAACTAACTGAGTGTCACTAGACACAAATCATGGTAAAATGCATTAGAATTTTATAAAGTAATGTGACGAAAATGTGCTGAAAGTTGACCTTACATTACCCTTAAATTGATATTAATTTTCTGTCTCATAAGTTGTATTTGGGGAATTAACATCTCCAACAAAGTTTCTTATTTATCGTTCTTTGAATAGTACTATTACTCATCAATTTCAGCATAGGAAAAGTTATGCAAACAGGCAGTCTGTAAACCTGTCCAATTTAAAGACTGTGTTCATCAAAGACAGATATCATCTAGAAATCTATTGAAAACTTGAGAGCACTGGGTATCTGCTCCGTCTTAGTTTAAGAATGCTCGATTGCGGGTATTTGTGAACGTTATGAAATCGAACTTATGACTTGAAGATTTCACAGTAAGAATGACAGTCAGAATCTAAACGCTCCATATTTTTGAGTTCAGCCATTAAATGATGCGTATCAATCACAAACCTATGAAATCGGTGTTGATTGTTTCATTCCGACATGGTTGACTCTAGAGATCAGAAGTCATAACTGATATCACATTTCCTGATAAACCAACTTTCAAACTATTACGTGAGTCCCGATCCAAAAAATCCAGCATAATCTCGCTAAGACAGACAAGTCTAAACACAATTTCATTTTCATTAAAAAAATAAATCCCATCAAAACTAAGGATAGCTTGATGGCGAAGAAATATGACAAACCTGTACTCACTTTTGTACATATAATCGAACGTGAAAATTTCATAAACTCTTTACATAATGAAAGTATAATACAAACCTAGGAGAAAAAAATAAAAAAATAACGTACATAGAAAATTGATGGCACTCAGTTACTTACTGAATATCAAGATTTCAAACTAAATAACTTTGGATTTTCTCACTACACTGGTATTATTTGGACTTTAGTTCCAGTGTTTTTCATTCCTTTGTCATAAGCCAGTTAATTTGGCAAAGAAATCCTTTTCAACGATTTCATTTTCGAAACTGCACAAATAACATATACATAAACAGAGATGTTCCGATTGATATTACTATACAGACATTTTTGTTTTACATTATGTTAACTTCGACTTGCTACACTGATATAAAGTGTAGGAATAGGAATAACAACAATAACTGCCTGATTCGATATCAAAAATTTCGTTAAAGCAACAAATTCATAAAACCAATAATATAATTTAATAGATTACTGTTGAATATACATTTAAGTCGTAATTTTAAGAAATATACCTAAAATTCCGCGCGCGCTAATTAAAAGGACAGTGGTATTTTTCCTCGCTGAGTAAATCCTATTGTTTTGATCGTTTATTACGCATGAAGACTACTGTTTTCACTTTAATTGAATTTATTTCAGTTAAAGTATTCGATTAGAGTATCGTTTCTGTTTCTAAATTAGTTTGTCGCCGGTACTTTTGAGTACTTTGTTTTCTGTTTTATCCGTTAGTACTTTTTGGTTTTAACAATCCACAGTTTTCCACTTTTTTTGGTCATAGATCATTTTTGTCTGAGTATTATTGCATCTAGTTCTTTTTTCTTTAAAAAGAAGACCCCTGTTTAATGACTGGACAGTGCAATCAAAAGCAAATGCCAACGTTCGGGCTGTCGTTATCGCGTTAAAAGCGGCATGCAGTGCGATGAGTGCAAAGGCTGGTACCACGAAGTTTGCACGAATTTAACGCCTGCGGCTTTCAAACGGTTCAGTAAAAACGGTTGCGCATGGCTTTGTCAACAGTGCTGTTCGGATGCAAACAGCTTGCTAACCGAGGCCATTTCATTGGTAAATGCTGCAAAAGTGTTTTGGCAAGCGTGGTCGGGACACATCGTACAGTACTCGCTCTGTTGACAAACCAATTGGTGTGAGGCAAACTCAGGTAAGTTCGAAAACAGGTGACTCACACCAACCAAAGGAGGAAAAACAATCTTCAAAGACGTCTGTCTTAACCAAAAATTCGAAAAAGGAGTTTCCTCTGTCCTCCATCTTCTAAATGGTACCCAGCAAGAAATGCCTAGAAGCCGCATTCGCAAGGCTCGATCGGTTTCTATTTATTTATTATTATTTATTTGAACACAAATATTGATACAAGAAGGCACCAACTATATGTGCGCCACATAAAATAATGAGAATTCGAAGGAAAAAAACAATAACGAACAGATTAGTGTAATAATAATGACAGTAATAATAATAATAATAATAATAATAATAATAATAATAATAATAATGGGACAAAAGGAAAGGTACAATCAGAAATCTTTCAGTTAAGGAAGAAACAACCACTTTTTTTAATGAAGAAAGTAAAAGAAGGTTACAGCAGGATCTCCATTGGCTTCTATTCTGAACCATGTCTGATAACGTCTCTAGCCAATGTGTTGCACCATCTCTAGGACCTCAAACAGGGAGCCGTGAAGGACCAACACAGGCCAGCCCTTTGCAGCTTTGTTTGATACCACGACACCATGTCATACATTGACCACCTCTCCGCTATTTCCCAACCAGTCCCAGCGTCGGCAAATAATGCACGACGTGGAGTTCTCTGGGACGACATTCGTAGAATATGTCCGAGCCACCGAAGTCGGTGTTTCAAAATGGTGTTGCCACTGGATGTCAGCAATCCTTCGGAGACAACAATGATCAAACACAGAGAGTCGTCTAACATCCTCAACGCTTGTATCCCCATATAAACCAAAGGATAAAAAGAGGAAATATTCCTGCACTATGGGGAGACAGTACTGCTTCATCATTAATGGAGGACGACTTCGGTAAGGCTCAAGTATTCTCAAACTACTTTGACAATCTATATATCATAGAAACACCCTTCCCGTCAGTCCATACAAATCCCCCACACAAACAATGGACTGCGTGACCATCAAAGAACTTGATATCCTTGGTCATAGGTAAATCCACGGAGACCGATGAATTGCATCCTAGGCTACTGAAGGAATTATTTAACTTTGTTGCGGACCCTTTAAGTATATGCTTTGATCTATCCGTAACGCAGGGTCGTTTACCAAAAGACTGGAAGAACGCCATAGTAAGTCCTGTCTTCAAAACAAGTACGAAACATAAACCTGGGAATTACCGACCCGTTAGCCTAATTAGTGCAGTTGTTAAAATCTTAGAAAAGATTATTCGCAAGATGTTTAAGTACCTCAATGAAAACCGGATCCTTTCGGAGAAGCAACACGGTTTCAGAATAGGTTACTCTTGTCTCACTAACTTAGTGGCTCATGAAAGCTGGTGCGCTCTTAAGGACCAAAAATTACCTGTAGACGTCGCCTTTCGTTGATTTCAGTAAAGCTTTTGACAAAGTTTCGCACAACCGGCTGTTATATAAGTTAAGAAAAATCGGGATTAGAGGCAATTTATTGATGTGGATAAAAGACTTCTTAGTTGGGCGTCAACAAAGAGTAAGGGTGAACTCAAAGTTATCTAGCTGGGAAACTGTGCTTAGTGGAGTGCCCCAGGGTACAGTTTTGGGGCCAGTACTATTCCTCTTGTATGTAAATGACCTTCCCCGTCTCTTATCATCATCGGTCTTGCTATATGCTGACGATGTCAAGATACGCAGAACGATACGATGTAAGGATGATAACTTAGAACTCCAAAATGACCTGAAAAAATTATCTGGATGGTCTCAAACCCGGCAGTTGCCGATAAATACTTCCAAGTGTGTTGTGATGCATGTCGGTCATAAAGGTACAGATACATACACGATGAATAACACTGAGCTACCTGTCGTCCAGACACATAATGACTTAGGAGTCATCGTTAGCCAAGACTTGAATACTACTGCAAACTGCCGTGCAATAGCCGCCAAAGGTTTTAGAACCTTATGGTCAATAGGTAGGGCTTTTAGTCGTGTCGACGCTAAAACGTCCTTGACTTTGTACACAGTGTTCGTACGTCCTAAACTTGAGTACTGCATACAAGCGGCCAGCCCCTGCTTAAAAAAAGACAGTGAGCTTCTGGAAAAGGTTCAGGGTACAGCAACTAAGCTGATTCTCGGAATAGCGAAGCTTCCGTATGATGCTCGACTGGTCAAGCTAAACCTTTTCCCGTTGCTATATCGTAGAACTAGAGGCGACTTGATTACAGTTTTCAAATTACTTAGTGATAAATTTGCACCTGATATGCCCTCATTTTTCTTGTCTTTTAAGACAGAGAATTTACGAGGACACTCCAAAAAAGTTCACAAACCCAGAACAAATTACTTGTCAGCTGACTATCGACTTTCCATCGAATCATCAACGAGTGGAATCTATTACCTCAGCACGTGGTTGAGGCTCCATCCGTCGACTCTTTCAAAAGAAAGTTGGATCAACTGAGAGACCAGTGTTGTCAGAACTAACAAAGGCCATCAAGACTCCTGTCCTTTCCAAACTGAAACTGATTTAGTATTCCATATTCATCTTTAATCTTGAAATTTTTCTAATAGTTCAGCTGCCAAAACTAACTTTTTCATCCATCGAACAACAGGTGCATAAATTCGATTGTATTTGTCATTTAATTTCTTCAAAGAATAGATAGAGGTAAATACTACAAATGCAACGTTCCTGGTGGTATTTTCCAGCATATAGTTTTATTTACTTATTTAAGTACATAAACATTGGTACAAGGAGTCACCACATGTATATGCGCCACACAAATAACTCAATTTGTGCAAGAGCTGGATTATTGCTCGGGTGCCCAAACTGAAGCAGGTGGCTTTCTTGGGGGGCTACACCCCGAGCCTTAGACCTAAAGGTCTAATCCATAAGGCAGTGGAGCAACGTAAGCAGATGCAGTCCCATGGTAGCCTGTGACCAACAATAGGTTCGTACGCCATTTGCTTCCTTATGATCCCGGAGCTCATGTACACCATTGGTTTGGAATCAGAGTTTTCTAACTCCCCTAAGTGGGTCCTCCGTATCCACCAACTCATATGAAGTACCGGCTGTTCGCTTTTCGTCCTCTCAATTTCGTATACAACACCCCCGCCGCGAGGTAGTGAGTAGGACTTCCCTGGCAGTGGCTATATTTCCGTGGCCATGTGAGAGCATTTCGAGAGGGAGGGCGGAATCTCACCACCCTCGGCTATATCAGGGCATTCGGGGGAAAAGCTAGCATATAGTGTCGCAGTAGTTTTTCAGCCTTTCATAAAAGCACGTCACTACATACAGTTAGTTTTCATAATTATTTTGTTTAGACAAATACTATATAAGAAGTTTTATGGCGATATTGACACAGTTGACCAAACGTATAAGCACCTCGCAATTATATCCAGACTTAATACATATTCACTCCATACCCTGTCAGTCATGAGTAACGTAGAACCTGACACATATGTGTATCGGCTTAAGTTGCTACACTTCAGATTTGCATGATGAGAGGAAATCAGAATGATGTGTTGTAACTTGGACTAGAAGAGAATTTCTTGTCAGTTATAGCCTGCAATTTACTGAACTGGAAAATATCAGCGCGAAAGTGAACGATCGTATTTAATCTTTAACAATATGTCTCCGAAATTCTCGACTCAGCCCTAAATTATTAAAAAGACAAAACCTGGTCGATGGAGAATGTATGTATGTATATTATGGGAAAAACATTATACACAACTTATCTTTTTGGTGATTATTAATTCCAGTTAAATAACTACGACTTAGGATGAATTTCATACTAAACAATTGGCAATACTTAATGAACTTAACAAAAATTATCAGAATAAAACTGTATTATACTGAAGTAATTTAGTAATTGAAGTCAACAAAATTCAACCAAACATTGAAATGAACGGTTATCAC